AAATCAAATTGAATGTATATTTTGTTGGCGAAACACGGCAGCCAATATCCCACAAACAGTCATGGATTGAAGTGCCCAATTTTTTTTATATAAAGGAATTATTACCCACGGAAAAGCGATCCGCAATTCGACTTAACAACCAGGTTCCTACTTACTGCTAGGTAAACCGAGGTGTGTGGAGTATGGAGACTTGCCAAACATTTCGCCCTGATGGGAATTGAACCCAGGTCTCTCGCTTGTGAGGCAAGCGTTCTAACCACTGAGATATAGGACTCCAACAGTAAAATTCAGCCTTATTTTGGTGCCCATTTTTCCCCACAATTCTTAAAAAGAATTGGATTGCAAATTAACAACAGTAACTTGTATTTATATAGTGCCCTTCGCATGGGGTAGCATCCCAGAGTCCTTGACAGTGGCGGAGTCTGACACCGAGCTAGGGATAGAGGGTGGGTGGGGGGGGTGAACGCAAGCATGATCAAAAGGAAGGTCTTTAGGCAGGATTTGAAAGTGGGCAGGGAGGGACAAGGCAGAGGGACTGAGGGAAGAGAGTTCCAGAGTTTCAGGTGTAGTGGCTGAAGGCACGGCCATCGACGGTAGAGCGGAGGCAACAAAGCAAAAACAGGAGGCCAGAGTCAGACGAGTGGAGGCAGTGGGTGGTGGAGTGGAGGGTAAGTGGAGGCAGCGGGTGGTGGTGTGGAGGGTAAAGTAGGGAGGTACGAAGGCATAAAGGGATTAAGACCAAATTTAAGTATGTTTCACAATTCTGCTTGAACTTAAATTTTATGCCTAAGTGTTTTACAGCCTAAATTAAATGGAATTTTAAGGCTCTGGACCTTCATGGTAGTTCACATCCTCCATCCTTTTGGCCTCTGGACTGTGAATTATGAACATTATTCTGGTAGTAAATCAAATTTAAGATCTTCTCAATCTTAACTCACTACCATAGGTACCCATATAAATTTGAACTCCATTCCATAATACAGAGGTAAAAAAATGGTTTTGCATATTTCTTGTAACTACCACATAAACCACCTCTTTAAAGTTCTTGCATTCTTTTGTCTCATCATTCCTTTTAGCATCTGTTGTATATTTCCAGGTCACTTTTTATTCTAGTGTCTAAATTTTAGTGATGAATGTAAACCTGTATCTTCTATACCCTGTTTTATTGCTAACTTGCACTTCAAAGATGTGAAAATGTATGGTGGCAGTTTGGCAACAGTTATGATTCCACTTACACCTAAAAGACACAAACTATCTTTCGTCCCTCAACATATTCATTCACTGGTTACCTGTTCTCAGAAGCTTGTTTACACTTCAAATCAGTTTGTTTTGAAATCTGAACTGATTCCCAACCTTGATGGCAATACAGAAAAATAAAACAGTATTTGGTTTCCAAACTATTAATTCTAAAAATGTACATTGCAGGTCTAAATGTTTATACTTAAAAGGCCACAGACTATCTTCAACAAGGTGATATTTTATGCATGGCTTACAAATATAGGGTTTAGGAAATAGGAATACATATCGAAACAATCCAATAGGAAAACACGTAATATTGTTTCTGCACAAAAAATAACAGATCCTATGTTGCAATGCTTCTGTGCATTTTGTAAACAAGGCACACAAATATAAAAAAAACCTTGGGGTCAGGATATCTCTTTACATACACACACGCACGTGTATATATATATATATATACACACACACATTTAAAAAAACACATCAGGCTGTAGATGATACGGAGAATTCGCGCAAAAATTCTATAGAAAAGGAAATACTGTTTAATCTCAAACTGTGGCACCGCTTCTCCTGTGGCCACTGCACCTGTGTGTGTGAGAGCCTCAGTGCTCAGCCAATTCCTCCACAAAACATCTCACTCCAGTTATTCCACACACACACACACACAATAATTTTCGAGGGAAGGCCGAGATGTATTAAGAGGGTTTGGAGAAATCTACTCTGTCACGATTTCCAGTCCATTAAAACACACACACAGACAGACACACACACAGACAGACACACAGACACACACACAGACAGACACACACACCACAGGCTTGGGGTCCGGAGTGCAGTAACTTCAGCCGCAAAACATTGCGGGAAATCAAACCAACTCGAAAGGTAATGTTTCCAATGTGAACTTGGGATATTATTCAAACCGAGATATTAGTATTATTATTATTATTGAAACCTTTTACCCCAATAAAGGACGCGGAGTTTATATTTTTATTTGCGGTCGCCGTGTGAAAAGGTTTGGTCAGTCAGACAGGGGGTCAAGAGACCTTGTTGCAATGGGGAAGGGATGCAGTGACAAGCCCTGGGGGGGAGGGATGCAGTGACAAGCCCTGGGGGGGGGGGGGGGGGTAGGGGAGGGATGCAGTGACAAGCCCTTGGGGGGGGTAGGGGAGGGATGCAGTGACAAGGGGGGGGGGGGGAGGGAGGGATGCAGTGACAAGCCCTGGGGGGGGGGGTAGGGGAGGGATGCAGTGACAAGCCCTGGGGGGGGGGGGGGGGGTGGGGGGAGGGATGCAGTGACAAGCCCTGGGTGGGGGGGGGGTAGGGGAGGGATGCAGTGACAAGCCCTGGGGTGGGGGGGTAGGGTGGATGGGACAGTGACAACGCCTGGGGGGGGGGGGTAGGGGAGGGATGCAGTGACAAGCCCTGGGGGGGGGGGGGGGGGATGCAGTGACAAGCCCTGGGGGGGCAGTGAGTGAGGAGCAGAGACCCAGACGGCCTGGAGCAGAGATTGGGGGCTGATACCCGGTGTGGCTGCGGCTCAGGCTGTGCCTGGGAGCAAAGCCCCAGTGAGCAGCAAACTCAACACCCGGGCGAGGAGACAGACAGACACCAGACAGACAGACCGACAGACAGACAGACAGAGGCGGAGCACATAAATATATAACTTGCAATATTAATTAAAGCACCTTTTTTTTTGCAACAGCGTCGAAGGGAAACGGGCCCAATGCCCCCCCACCTCTCTCTCTCTCTCTCCCCCTCCCTCTCCCCTCCTCCTCTCCCCCCCCCCCTCCCTCTCTCCCTCCCTCTCTCCCTCCCTCCCCCCCTCCCTCCTCCCTCTCTCCCCTCCCTCCCCTCCCTCCTCTCTCTCTCCCCTCTCTCCTCTCCTCTCTCCCCTCCTCTCCTCCTCTCCTCTCTCCCCCCTCTCTCTCTCTCTCCCTCCTCTCTCCCCCCTCCCTCTCTCTCTCCTCTCTCCCCTCTCCCCTCTCCCACTCTCTCTCTCTCCCCTCCTCTCTCCTCTCCTCTCTCCCCCCCTCCTCTCTCTCTCTCCCTCCCTCTCTTCCCCCCTCCTCTCTCTCTCCCTCTCTCCTCCCTCCTCTCTCTCTCTCTCCCTCTCTCCCCCCTCCTCTCTCTCTCTCTCTCTCCTCTCTCCCCCCTCCCTCTCTCTCTCCCTCTCTCCCCCTCCTCTCTCTCCCCTCTCCCTCCCCTCTCCCCCCTCTCCCCTCTCTCTCTCCCTCCCTCCCCCCTCTCTCTCTCTCCTCCCTCTCTCTCTCTCCTCCCTCTCCCTCTCTCTCTCTTCCTCCCTCTCTCCCCCCCTCTCTCTCTCTCTCTCCCCCCCTCCTCTCTCCTCCTCTCTCCCCCCTCCCTCTCTCTCTCCCCCTCCTCTCCCCTCTCTCCCCCCCTCCCTCTCTTTCTCCCCTCCTCTCTCTCTCTCCCTCCCTCTCTCCCCCTCCCTCTCTCTCCATCCTCCTCTCTCTCCTCTCTCTCCCTCCTCTCTCCCCCCTGTTATTTCTATTATTTATTTCTCTTGAAATAACGGTCCCTGTGTGTCTGCAAACGCCGCCGCCCTCCCCCTCCCCTCCCCTTTCCCTCTCAAATAAAACAGCTTCCCCCCCCCCCACACACACACACAGCAAAAACCAAACCGAGATGGCTGGAAACTCCCATAAAAGAAACCTCGAAAGAAACCCCCTCGTTTTATATGAAAAAAAACTCATATATATACACATATATATTTTTTTAAAAAACACAGAAAAATAGCACAATAACATCGGTGTTGATGGCGATGCATTTGGGAAGACATTCCCGCAGGGAGGCTAGGGCTGGGCTGGGCAGGGCAGGGCAGGGCTGGGCAGGGCTGGGCAGGGCTGGGCCAGGGCTGGGCTGGGCAGGGCAGGGTTGGCAGGGCTGGGCAGGGCTGGGCAGGGCTGGGCGGGTGGGCAGGCTGGGCAGGGCAGGGCAGGGCTGGGCAGCTGGGCTGGGCAGGGCTGGGCAGGGCTGGGCAGGGGTGGGCAGGGCAGGCAGGGCTGGGGTGGGCTGGGCAGGGGGGGTGGGCTGGGCTGGGCTGGGCAGGGCAGGGCTGGGTAGGGCAGGGTTGGGCTGGGCAGGGTGGGCTGGGCTGGGCCAGGGCAGGGCATGGGCAGGGCTGGGCAGGGCTGGGCTGGGCGCAGGGCTGGGCTGGGGCATGGGCTGGGCAGGCTGGGCTGGGCTGGGCAGGGCAGGGTGGGCTGGGAGGGCTGGGCTGGGCAGGGCAGGGGTTGGCTGGGCTGGGCTGGGCAGGGCAGGGCTGGGCTGGGTAAGGCAGGGCTGGGCAGGGTGGGCTGGGCAGGGCTGGGCTGGGCTGGGGCAGGGCAGTGGGGGCTGGGCTGGGCTGGGTAGGGCAGGGCTGGGCAGGGTTGGGCTGGGCAGGGCTGGGCTGGGCTGGGCAGGGCTGGGCAGGGCAGGGCTGGGCAGGGCAGGGCTGGTTGTGGTGGCTGGGCGGCTGGGCTGGGGACGCTGGGGATGGGGTGGGGGATGTGCGAGGTGGCGGCGCAGCTCTCTCATTCATCAAAACTCCCTTCCCTCCACAAGGCGCACCGCTGGAGCCGGGTCGCTGATGCACGTACACCGGCACAGGCACAGCACCTCAATCCATCCCGGCACCCGGCACCGGCACAGCCACAGCCACCGGCACAGCCACCGGCACAGCCACAGCCACAGCCACGGGCACAGACAGAGGACAGACAGCACAGCGCGGAATACAAGCAAAGCAGCCGGTGACTTACCCGGGGAGCCAGCGGGGCCGGCACTCACATCTCCTGAGAGCCACTGAGGGAGGGAGTGAGCGAGTGCCCCTCCTCTGGCTGAGCTGTGCACAGAGAGCCCCAACCCCTCCCCTCCCCTCTCTCTCTCACACACACACCGCTCGCTCCGCTCTTTGTGTCAGAGCGAACCCCGACCTCACACACTAACTTGCTGGACTCAGTCCGGGCGGCGAGGAACCACCGAACTTCGTAGCAGCGGAAGTGTCGTCGCTGCGCAAAGCCGTTAACGTCATCGAGGTGTAGAACGCAGGGAATCCCCGGAGAGGAGCGTCTCGTGCAGCTCCAGTGCAGTGTGGGGAGAGGCTGAGCCTCAGTCACTGACTGTCTGACTGCAGCTCCAGTGTAGTGTGGGGAGAGGCTCAGTCACTGACTGACTGCAGCTCCAGTGCAGTGTGGGGAGAGGCTGAGGCTCAGTCACTGACTGACTGGCAGCTCCAGTGTAGTGTGGGGAGAGGCTGGGGCTCAGTCACTGACTGACTGACTGCAGCTCCAGTGCAGTGTGGGGAGAGGCTGAGGCTCAGTCACTGACTGACTGACTGCAGCTCCAGTGTAGTGTGGGGAGAGGCTGGGGCTCAGTCACTGACTGACTGCAGCTCCAGTGTAGTGTGGGGAGAGGCTGAGGCTCAGTCACTGACTGACTGACTGCAGCTCCAGTGTAGTGTGGGGAGAGGCTGAGCCTCAGTCACTGACTGACTGACTGCAGCTCCAGTGCAGTGTGGGGAGAGGCTGAGCCTCAGTCACTGACTGACTGACTGCAGCTCCAGTGCAGTGTGGGGAGAGGCTGAGCCTCAGTCACTGACTGCAGCTCCAGTGCAGTGTGGGGAGAGGCTGAGGCTCAGTCACTGACTGACTGCAGCTCCAGTGTAGTGTGGGGAGAGGCTGGGGCTCAGTCACTCACTGTCTGACTGCAGCTCCAGTGTAGTGTGGGGAGAGGCTGAGGCTCAGTCACTGACTGACTGCAGCTCCAGTGTAGTGTGGGGAGAGGCTGAGGCTCAGTCACTGACTGACTGACTGCAGCTCCAGTGTAGTGTGGGGAGAGGCTGGGGCTCAGTCACTGACTGACTGCAGCTCCAGTGTAGTGTGGGGAGAGGCTGAGCTCAGTCACTGACTGACTGACTGCAGCTCCAGTGTCAGTGTGGGGAGAGGCTGAGGCTCAGTCACTGACTGACTGACTGCAGCTCCAGTGTAGTGTGGGGAGAGGCTGAGGCTCAGTCACTGACTGACTGCAGCTCCAGTGTAGTGTGGGGAGAGGCTGGGGCTCAGTCACTGACTGACTGCAGCTCCAGTGTAGTGTGGGGAGAGGCTGGGGCTCAGTCACTGACTGACTGCAGCTCAAGTGTAGTGTGGGGAGAGGCTGGGCTCAGTCACTGACTGACTGACTGCAGCTCCAGTGTAGTGTGGGGAGAGGCTGAGGCTCAGTCACTGACTGACTGACTGCAGCTCCAGTGTAGTGTGGGGAGAGGCTGAGCCTCAGTCACTGACTGACTGCAGCTCCAGTGTAGTGTGGGGAGAGACTGGGGCTCAGTCACTGACTGACTGCAGCTCAAGTGTAGTGTGGGGAGAGGCTGGGGCTCAGTCACTGTCTGACTGACTGACTGCAGCTCCAGTGTAGTGTGGGGAGAGGCTGGGCTCAGTCACTGACTGACTGCAGCTCCAGTGCAGTGTGGGGAGAGGCTGAGGCTCAGTCACTGACTGACTGCAGCTCCCAGTGTAGTGTGGGGAGAGGCTGGGGCTCAGTCACTCACTGACTGCAGCTCCCAGTGTAGTGTGGGGAGAGGCTGAGGCTCAGTCACTGACTGACTGCAGCTCCAGTGCAGTGTGGGGAGAGACTGGGGCTCAGTCACTGACTGACTGCAGCTCCCAGTGTAGTGTGGGGAGAGGCTGAGCCTCAGTCACTGACTGACTGTCTGACTGCAGCTCCCAGTGTAGTGTGGGGAGAGGCTGAGCCTCAGTCACTGACTGACTGTCTGACTGCAGCTCCAGTGCAGTGTGGGGAGAGGCTGAGGCTCAGTCACTGACTGACTGCAGCTCCAGTGTAGTGTGGGGAGAGGCTGAGCCTCAGTCACTGACTGACTGACTGCAGCTCCAGTGTAGTGTGGGGAGAGGCTGGGGCTCAGTCACTGACTGACTGCAGCTCCCAGTGTAGTGTGGGGAGAGGCTGAGGCTCAGTCACTGACTGACTGCAGCTCCAGTGCAGTGTGGGGAGAGACTGGGGCTCAGTCACTGACTGACTGCAGCTCCCAGTGTAGTGTGGGGAGAGGCTGAGCCTCAGTCACTGACTGACTGTCTGACTGCAGCTCCAGTGTAGTGTGGGGAGAGGCTGAGGCTCAGTCACTGACTGACTGTCTGACTGCAGCTCCAGTGCAGTGTGGGGAGAGGCTGAGGCTCAGTCACTGACTGACTGCAGCTCCCAGTGCAGTGTGGGGAGAGGCTGAGGCTCAGTCACTGACTGACTGCAGCTCCAGTGCAGTGTGGGGAGAGGCTGAGGCTCAGTCACTGACTGACTGCAGCTCCAGTGCAGTGTGGGGAGAGGCTGAGGCTCAGTCACTGACTGACTGCAGCTCCCAGTGTAGTGTGGGGAGAGGCTGGGGCTCAGTCACTGACTGACTGCAGCTCCAGTGTAGTGTGGGGAGAGACTGGGGCTCAGTCACTGACTGACTGCAGCTCCCAGTGTAGTGTGGGGAGAGGCTGAGGCTCAGTCACTGACTGACTGTAGCTCCCGGTGTAGTGTGGGGAGAGGCTGGGGCTCAGTCACTGACTGACTGCAGCTCCCAGTGTAGTGTGGGGAGAGGCTGGGGCTCAGTCACTGACTGTCTGACTGCAGCTCCAGTGTAGTGTGGGGAGAGGCTGAGGCTCAGTCACTGACTGACTGACTGCAGCTCCCAGTGTAGTGTGGGGAGAGGCTGAGCCTCAGTCACTGACTGACTGTCTGACTGCAGCTCCCAGTGTAGTGTGGGGAGAGGCTGAGGCTCAGTCACTCACTGACTGCAGCTCCCAGTGTAGTGTGGGGAGAGGCTGAGGCTCAGTCACTGACTGACTGACTGCAGCTCCCAGTGTAGTGTGGGGAGAGGCTGAGGCTCAGTCACTGACTGACTGCAGCTCCAGTGCAGTGTGGGGAGAGGCTGAGGCTCAGTCACTCACTGACTGACTGGAGCTCCCAGTGTAGTGTGGGGAGAGGCTGGGGCTCAGTCACTGACTGACTGCAGCTCCAGTGTAGTGTGGGGAGAGGCTGAGGCTCAGTCACTGACTGACTGACTGCAGCTCCAGTGTAGTGTGGGGAGAGGCTGAGGCTCAGTCACTGACTGACTGACTGCAGCTCCAGTGTAGTGTGGGGAGAGGCTGAGGCTCAGTCACTGACTGACTGACTGACTGCAGCTCCCAGTGTAGTGTGGGGAGAGGCTGGGGCTCAGTCACTGACTGACTGCAGCTCCAGTGTAGTGTGGGGAGAGGCTGAGGCTCAGTCACTGACTGACTGACTGCAGCTCCAGTGTCATGTGGGGAGAGGCTGAGGCTCAGTCACTGACTGACTGCAGCTCCCAGTGTAGTGTGGGGAGAGGCTGAGGCTCAGTCACTGACTGACTGTCTGACTGCAGCTCCAGTGTAGTGTGGGGAGAGGCTGAGGCTCAGTCACTGACTGACTGCAGCTCCCAGTGTAGTGTGGGGAGAGGCTGAGGCTCAGTCACTGACTGACTGTCTGACTGCAGCTCCCAGTGTAGTGTGGGGAGAGGCTGAGGCTCAGTCACTCACTGACTGCAGCTCCCAGTGTAGTGTGGGGAGAGGCTGAGGCTCAGTCACTCACTGACTGCAGCTCCAGTGTAGTGTGGGGAGAGGCTGAGGCTCAGTCACTGACTGACTGACTGCAGCTCCAGTGTAGTGTGGGGAGAGGCTGGGGCTCAGTCACTGTCTGACTGCAGCTCCCAGTGTAGTGTGGGGAGAGGCTGAGGCTCAGTCACTGACTGACTGACTGCAGCTCCAGTGTAGTGTGGGGGGAGGCTGGGGCTCAGTCACTGACTGACTGTAGCTCCAGTGTAGTGTGGGGGGAGGCTGGGGCTCAGTCACTCACTGACTGCAGCTCCAGTGTAGTGTGGGGAGAGGCTGAGGCTCAGTCACTGACTGACTGACTGCAGCTCCAGTGTCATGTGGGGAGAGGCTGAGGCTCAGTCACTGACTGACTGCAGCTCCCGGTGCAGTGTGGGGAGAGGCTGAGGCTCAGTCACTGACTGACTGCAGCTCCAGTGCAGTGTGGGGAGAGGCTGAGGCTCAGTCACTGACTGACTGCAGCTCCAGTGCAGTGTGGGGAGAGGCTGAGGCTCAGTCACTGACTGACTGCAGCTCCCAGTGTAGTGTGGGGAGAGGCTGGGGCTCAGTCACTCACTGTCAGACTGCAGCTCCAGTGTTGTGTGGGGAGAGGCTGAGGCTCAGTCACTGACTGACTGCAGCTCCCAGTGTAGTGTGGGGAGAGGCTGAGGCTCAGTCACTGACTGACTGCAGCTCCCAGTGTCGTGTGGGGAGAGGCTGGGGCTCAGTCACTGACTGACTGTAGCTCCCAGTGTAGTGTGGGGAGACGCTGGGGCTCAGTCACTGACTGACTGTAGCTCCCAGTGTAGTGTGGGGAGACGCTGGGGCTCAGTCACTCACTGACTGCAGCTCCCAGTGTAGTGTGGGGAGAGGTTGGGGCTCAGTCACTGACTGACTGCAGCTCCCAGTGTAGTGTGGGGAGAGGCTGGGGCTCAGTCACTGACTGACTGTAGCTCCCAGTGTAGTGTGGGGAGAGGCTGGGGCTCAGTCACTGACTGTCTGACTGCAGCTCCAGTGGCGTGTGGGGAGAAGCTGAGGCTCAGTCACTGACTGACTGACTGCAGCTCCCAGTGTAGTGTGGGGAGAGGCTGAGCCTCAGTCACTGACTGACTGCAGCTCCAGTGTAGTGTGGGGAGAGACTGGGGCTCAGTCACTGACTGACTGCAGCTCAAGTGTAGTGTGGGGAGAGGCTGGGGGTCAGTCACTGTCTGACTGACTGACTGCAGCTCCCGGTGTAGTGTGGGGAGAGGCTGGGGCTCAGTCACTGACTGACTGCAGCTCCAGTGCAGTGTGGGGAGAGGCTGAGGCTCAGTCACTGACTGACTGCAGCTCCCAGTGTAGTGTGGGGAGAGGCTGGGGCTCAGTCACTGACTGAC